AGAAAATCTGATCATTGATTGACAAATGGTGAATCCAAATTCTAGTACATAAACGGACGAGGAGAGAAAAATATAGATAGAGAACCTCATTGATGTCATATTTTGATTCACGTAACCTCTCACTCCAGAAACTGATGTCCCAATGAGTCAAATCATTAGCTTCTAATGCACCCTGATTCTTGGAGAAAATTTTAAGGTCTTCCATATCTGCAAGGATTAGAAAAATTAATTTTAGGTGAGAGAAAAGAGAACATCAAACAAGTTATTAAGGCCCTTTAGAAAATTTCTTAGAGAGGGGCTCAATGATCATAATTTCCTTGCAACAAAATTGACTTCTATAAGAAAATTTGCATCATCTTTTCTGTTGAAAAGAAAGGAGGCAACATATATAAAGAGATGCAGCTTACTTTCACTAACATTTCATATTCATTAGAGACATTGCTACTAAAAGGATTGAAAATTGAATTACAAAAGCAAAAAACCAAATATAACAGTAAATGGGTCATGAGGTGAACAACATGAGTTATGGGAAAATCAAAGTTGATCAACTTTCTAACACCGCCAGAGTAGTTTCATATGTGGTTATGCACAACTGGACTTCGCTGAAATATTAGAAGCTTTGAGAATTTAAAGTACAAAAAGAAAGAAAACTGCCAAGATAAAGTTCATCTCAAACAATTTATTTGTGCTGAAAAAGAGTAATTCAAACAAATAGCATCTTTCCATGGGCAAGTCTTAAACAATATATAAAAGGAACCTTTACCACTATTCCTTTAGAACAAAATTTAGGCATACAACGTTACCTTGCACAGCAGCATCCCATGAAGCACTACGAAGCTTTTCTAGTAGCTCTTCCGCCTTATCAACAGTAGCCATTTTTGTTGCCATGCTTACCTTATAAGATAAGTTTTGTTCAGCCGAAAAAGCAAAAAAAAGGAAGATACCTTAATCATAACAAGAAAACATACCTCAGCATAGTTGTTGTAATTGAGAAGCTTCGCCTTTTCCAACCTGAGTTTTAATACTTCATCAATGATTGCTGTATTGTCCAGATCACCACTAGAGGCACGTGTTACATATGCACGGTAGACTTCCTCACGAAGGGCACGGTTACGAGCATGTTGCATGACAGGAAGAAAACTGGGAGCATCCAAGGTAATGATCCATGGCCCATTCTCTGCAGTTGCATTTTCGTGGCCCTGATGGATATACAGAGTGCATCAAGGCATAACTAAAAAGAAAGCTAAAAAAAGAGAAGTGCCCTTGAGATTGTAAGAGGAAAATGTGCACTAAGAATTAGAAAGCATGTACCAGACTTGACAACAATACCTTAGACACAGCTGCCTGTGCGAATAATCCAAGAGCAGTAGCGGGCAATCCTTCAATATCTTTCTTACATGTTATGATCTTTTCAAACTTCTTTGTCGCATCCAAAACGTTCTCTGAGAATTTTTGAGATAGCCTTTCAAGTTCCTGTAGAAGTAAACATAATCAGTGGAGACGAATGCAAAGGAAATGACACATAACCAACCACCTTATCACCTTATTTTGGTTTTCCATGACACATAACCAACCACCTTATCACCTTATTTTGGTTTTCCATGATATAAAACGCTTGTCATTGCAGACACGACAAGATGGAAAGAGAAAAATAACAGGGACTCCATGATTGTAGAAAAATAGTCCTCTCCCTTCCGCCTCCCACAGAGGAACAGAGGAGAAGTGAGAAAAAACAAAAGCAAGGGGAGAACTCAGATCAGATCAGAACAAACATCTTGATATGTTTCAATAAAACACATTACACAAGAAAAACTTTAATATCGTTCACTAATCTTCAAGTAATTATAGTGCATGGCCTAATATTGTTCAATTAACTATTACATACATGGATTGGAAATTTCACCACCAACTGTTGAGTGTATAAATTATCGTAAATAGAACAGTAAGCCAACTACCTAGATATAAAAAAACAAAGCAAATGATCCTGTGCTATGCTTTTTTTTCAATACCCGCCCTAAAGACCATGCCTTTTCCTCCCATTATCTGGTTCTAGTATTTATTGATAGATGAACTTAAGTATTTGAGAACAAACCTGTTCGATCTTGTTAAATTCTTCTCTTTCACTATCTTCAAGAGCAACACCATTAAGAACCGCTTCCTTTATTTGTGCTGCACATGTACATAAACTGAAGTTAATTGATGGCAAAGACAGTGCAACCAGTATAGAATCTCTCTAGCACATGAACATTCAAATGACAAAAACACCAAACTGAATCATATCTTGACATTTTTGGGCATCTGCAAGACTGCGTCAGGCTTAACATCAAATGGCAGCATGTCATAAAGTAACAACATATTTTAGGTCCTACAAAGTCCAATTTCAACTTTGTTAATAGAATTTCATTTTCATGCTGATGCTTGTTCAAACGATTATAGCACTTCAAACGGCATAATTTGCAAGAAGCCACTCAAGAAACCATCATTTGCTGGATGAGTTTCAAAACGCTAAACCCAATAAAGTCTGTCACGGAACTAGACAAAGGAAACAATAGAGTTCCAGGTGGAATTGTGCCCAACAAAATTGCATCTAATTGTAGAATTGCCAAAGGACACCCCTAAAGGAGATTGTTAATGCAACATAGGATGCAGAAAATTAGAAGGACCAACATGTTGAAGCACCCAGATGCAACATGAGAAGAAGAAGGAAATCTCCATTAGTGAAATAAGAAAATAACACTTCACCTTCCACTATACGTTTGCAAGCTTCACTAAGTGACTGCCAATCAGGAGATTCTTTAATAGCCTTAAATGCATTGTAAATGGGCTTACTTTGTCCCAATCTGAGCTGAAATTTCACCTTCTCTGGCTGCAGTCATAGTCCAGAGTTAGCAGCCAAAAAGGGAGATATACAGACACACCGACCAATGCAGATAATTCAGTTAAAACTCAAATTGGCAAAAATTTCTGAACTCGATTTGCTTCCAAACTCAAGTATAATATCATTTATCTAGAAGAGAGATCCAAGTTTCTTTGAACTTAGCCAATGTATCTATAGTTCATACCATGATCACTAAAATGGAATTTACCTATCTTTGATCGCTGTCTTTCCATAGTGTCTTATTCAAAAGTTTCAGATAAAACAGTTCTAAAAATGTGAGATAATGATACTTTCAATCGAATACTCATAGTCTCTGCTTCTGTGAACCCATGTTAATAGACAGTATAAAAAACCGGGGGAAGAATCAACCTGAACTTCTTCAATGGCAGCACGAAGCTCGGGAGTATCCTTTACAGCCTTAAGGTGATTGATCATTCCCCAGACAACATTCAGCCGATCAACAATTTTCTCCAAAGGCTCCACCAGTTTTGGCCAAGAAGGCTCAATTGTTCTCTCCAATTCCTCCAAATCAGCCTCCTGCGTAACCAGCCAAGATGTTTCCAAAATTAAGCATATTAGATTCCGTATCCAGAAAACCAAACCCCAAACTTTATCTTCAATGCCAAAATAGTCGTGTTCCAATGAAAGAGAAGACCATCAATCCAGAAACATAAACACAGCAGAGAATGCCACAATCTAAACAAAGGATTCAGTAAAGCATAAAAGTTCCTGCCACACAGAGCATGAAAAACTAAAAGAGAAAATAGAAAAAAAAAAAAAAATAGAATCACCAAGCCATATAAAAAAAAAAAAAAAAAAAACTGAAAGCAAATCACCAGAAGTCAGAAAAATTATTAAACAAAATAGCAAGCAGTAGCACAAAGCAATCAATTCATCAAAAATAACATACAAGTTTCTGCAACAGAGCACGAATCCCCGGCCTAACATGCTTGGCCTCAACAACATCAAAAGGAGGAAAGTCAAAATTCCGCAATAGAGGATTTGATTCAAGCGATTCCTCGATGGTAGCAGTAGCAATACCAGCCGCAGCCATTGAATGAGAAGGAAAAGAAGAACAAGAAGAGGAGAGTGGAGGAATGAGAGGAGTGGATCTCTTGCGGAGAGAGTGAAGGCAGAAGGAGAAAGAAGAAGACCAGAGCGGACAGGGATAGGATTTGATAGACTGTTTTGGGTATAAATAGGAACTTAAATGCGGAGAGCGTCTTATGATTGGATGAACCGAGCGCGAGATGGAGAGTCGCGTCGCCATGAGAATGTTGAGTATAAAGAAAATGGCTAAGGGTCTGGCTCTAACGAGTCCAGGCCGCAGATCACAACCCACCTTCATTTTCACCTCTTGGCTTTGGGTTTTAAGCCTTTCTTTGGTTCATTTTGTTTTTGTTTTCAGTGTTAGCCAATAGGGATTTTTTTTTCTTTTTATTTAAAAATTTTATGTGGGGCCCAGGTGATTTCCACTTCAGCTGGCTATTTTCACAGTACTTATAATAATTATTTAATATTATTACATGAAATTAATTAGTATATAATATTAATAATTAGCTCATGGTAGAGATATTATTTTCTTTTTATGTGTTCTTGAATCTTCCTTTTGTGGAAAGTATATACATAAAAAGGAGATTTCCAAATCCCAATTCCCAAATGGTACCATCTTTAAAAGATAAGATTATATTAAGTGAATCTTCTGTTAATATTATACTATATAATATATAAAATTTGTGACAAATAGAATTTAACATAAGATTATTCAGCATGAGTCTTGTGTTAATAATATATACTATATAAATATATAGAAGTTTCAGAAAAAAAAAAATAATAATAATAATAATAATAATTTTTTTTCAATGGAGATGAAAACTTTATCTGAATTTATTTGGAATTAAGAGGGAGGATTCTACTTGACCCAGAATTGAATTAAATGAGGAGCAAAATTCATTGTCTCCATTGATATAAATAAATAATTTTGTTACATTTGTATACAGGTGGAAATATTAAGTTGCTTTTTTATATTATTTTAAAATATTTAAATTAGATAATATATTATTTTTTTATAATTTTAATTTATTAATTCAGTGTCTATATAGATTTGAATCAGACACGTGTGTATACTGCGATTAAATCTATATTTACGTTAGATCCATATCCACGATGATGTAATTTTTTATTTAGTGTGAAAAAAAAAATTAATTTTTAGTTATTATTAATTAAATTTAAAAGTTTTAAAATATAAAACAACAAAAAAAAACACCAAACCCACGTGTTATAATTTCAACTGTTTATGTTACCGTTGTTGTCAACTAATAAAGTATATAAATAATATTAATTTTTACTATTATCGAATATAGATATAATTTAAATAGAATACGACACAGATTCAACATGAATTTATATAGTACTTTCATTAACAATGCTAGTGTGCATAACATTGTTCGCGAACCAATTTAAATATAGGGACCAACTTAGTGTCTCAAATTTTTTATACATAATATTTATATTATATTGAAAATATATTAGATACCTATCTTTTATTTGTGTTAATAATGTTGAATTTATTATTTTTATAACAAAATGATTTATTGTGATAATTAAATTTAGTTTATATTTTAAAATATTAAAAATAAAAATTATTGGAGAGTGGAAACAGTCATTTATGTCTTTGAGACTCGAAAGAAAAATAAATAATAAGTTATTAGAGAAACTACACAAAAATCATATGAGAAAGAAGAAAGTACGTTGATTTCCATGGAGTTTATTGCCTCTGAAAATAGGGAGGACATGTATATACATACATATATATATATATATATATATATCTCATCTCATCAGGAATTCAAGTATCAAGGTTTGCTGGGCTTACACTCATAAAGCTCCAAATTCACATCCTTGACAAACCACCCACAAAGTTTAATTTTTACTCCACGAGCACTCCCTCCATTAAGTAGGAAAATCATACCCGTCCCTGCTCTGTTCCAACCAGAGTTATAATCAGCAGATTAATAAAATGAGTACTAAAGGAAAACAAGATACTTTCCTCAAAAGTTCTGCTAATATCTCTATTGATGTGCAGCAATCTTCCTGATTAAAATCCCAAGTACAGAAAAAAGTTTTTTTTTGGGCAGTAGGATGTGAGAATTTTGCCCAATAATCATTTACTATTGTGTGGTTATCTAATAATTACGTAGTGTCAAGTGATTAGTGCACAAAATTATTAAGTAATACGAAATATTAAAAAATTACTTTGAGCTTCACGATGTCTCTGAATTACCGTAGCACTACCTATAAGATATGGATGTGTCCAGTAAAAGGGTAAAATAGTACCTTCCCAAGGGAGCTTCTCTATTAGTTCTTGTACTTCATGGTTTCCTTCTCAAACCCAATTGTAGGGAATTGCTTGGCGTACTCCTCAACATCATGGCGGAGTTTTGCAATTTCAGATTGAATGTTAGAAGAGGACTGCACTGTGGCCAAGAAGTCTTTCAATTTTGTTCCTGGTTTACAAAAATTAAAAGATATGCAAGCAGGTATTATTAGCTGAAACAAGGAACTGGACCAACAGCAATTTAAAGAACAGGTAAAACACGGTTTATGATAGGATTCAGAAGAGCACCAAGTAAATGAAACAGAGATTTTACTAGAGATTTTCAGAACCTTGTGTTTCAGCCTTGATTTTCAGTGCCAACTTCACTGCAGCATCAAAGTATTCTGCTACCTTAGCAAAGTCCTCTTCAACAAATCCTCTAGAAGTAAGAGCTGGAGTACCTGGAGTGAAATTAAGTAACATAGAAGTTATAAAAGGGACAAAAGAAACCATGAACGAAGTTATGAAGGAAGTAATGGCCCTTACCCATTCTGATGCCTCCAGGAACCATAGCAGACACATCTCCAGGTACGGTGTTTTTGTTGGCGGCAATATGAACCGCTTCCAGCACCTTTTCAACTCTTGAGCCATCAATACCCTGTGCAAAGAAGATGTTCAAAATCAATAGGGAATAGATGTATAAATGTCAGTCATCAGATTGAAGCCATCATCTCGTTTCACTAGAAAACTTGGTATGCTTCCTATATCAGAGTCAAAAGCAGAATGCCAGTAAATTAAGCAATAGAGTAGACAATGCCCAAAACAAAATGACTGGATGATGGAGGCTTTTGAATTATCAGAAGTGTAAAGATAAGGAAATTTTTCATTACCTTGTTCTTCAAATTCACCAAAACTAAATGGTTATCAGTTCCACCAGAAACAAGTTCATATCCTCTCTCAGCCAGAGTCTACAGAATAGATAAATTCCAAGTAATCAGAATACAAGAACTCAAACAGGTTTAGCAATACCCCATGTGCCAATGAGACAAAAACTAAGGATGTGAAGAAAATAAAAGCCTGCGCATGCCATGTTTCATTAACAAATTCTGCTCTATGCCATGTGGTAATACCTGTGCAAACTTCGAACAATTACTTAGAACTTGCTCTTGGTAAGCTCTGTACTCTGGAGAGGTAGCCTACAATTTCATAGATGGAAGTAAGAAAATACAAACCTGAGTTTCAAACACATTGAGATTTATCAAAGTGAAATACTATTTGATGAAAATAAGGAAAATAAACGGAAAAAAATCATAAAAGAGAAGGAAAGCCTGATTCAACAGAGAACAGATCTATTAGAAAAGCCTTTTTTTTTTAACTAGTAAACTTAAACAGATTTGAAAAGTTAATTCACTTCTGCAGGACACAATCTTAATAAGGCAATTCAGTAGTTTGTAAGTTGAACTCCTCAGTAGAAGGAGGAGGACAAGGCCCTCGATTCAACTCAACAAACCAAGTCCGAACATGAATGTTCACTGACAGCCTCTTTACACAGAAAAAAATAATTATATCAAAAGAGACTAAGATATATAGAAAATCAAATAAACAAACAGATGAAGTCGTCTTGTCAGTTGGCAAACCTGTTTCAGTGCAACAGCCAATCCAGCTATTGTATGATTATGTGGACCACCTTGAAGTCCAGGAAAGACTGCCTGATTGATTTTGTCTTCATAATCATACAACACCTTCAGAAAGATTTAGACCCATAAATTTTCAATTTCAAGGAATACAATCTAATATAATTACCTGATTGATACTGAAATAAGGGAGTCAACAAGGCATGAGCAGGAAACAGTATTTTTTTTCCTGTGAAAAACTCACCTCTTTTCCTTGTTTGTTAATCTCTTTTACCCCCTTCCTGTAGAAAATCATGGCTCCACGTGGTCCACGGAGTGACTTGTGAGTGGTGGTGGTCACTACATCAGCATAGTCAAAAGGCGATGGGATGACACCAGCTGCAACTAAACCACTAATGTGCGCCATATCTGCCAATAAGATAGCTTTCTGCTTGTCGCAAACCTGTTACTCACACAAACACAATATCAGGCCTTATGAAATATAAAAGAGGTCAAAGCAAAAGAAGCTTGGCAGAATATTACTCTCTTGACTGGAGCTATATATATCTCTAAGGAGTTACCTTGCGAATGCGTGCATAGTCATACAAACGTGCATAAGCACTTGCACCAGCCACAATTAGCTTTGGCCTGAAGAGAGTAGCACTTTTCTCCAACTGCACTTAATAATTGTTTTAATAGTAGCACGTATTAATTTCTGTGATCATCTATAAAACATGATCAACCATCCATGACCAAAGCAGTAATATAAAGATAGCAAAAATGGGATTAATATGCAACAATTTAAAGGTAAAAGAAGCAGAAATAAAAGGATGCTATCATAAAAAAAATGCAACGCTACCTGGTCATAGTCAATATACCCAGTACTCTCATTCAATCTGTAAGGCATAGTCTCGAAAAATATAGACACTGCAGATATCTTTTTGGTGTCTGTCTGCATACCAGCAAATCAAACAATTAGTTGTTATCCATTGATGTAACTCCCAAATAAAACTATGAAAATAATTTCTTCAACACTGTTGGGAAGGTAGTCACTTCCAAAGTGACTGGATCCATATTTTTAAAAGAACATGGTTATAGTCTCATAGATATTAACAATTATCAGAAAGTGGGATAAGACAAGTCCGTGGAACAAGAGGATGTTAGGGCAGTTGCAGGAACCTGATAGCCATGAGAAAGATGTCCACCATGAGGAAGATCAAGTGCCATGATTCTCTCATGAGGTTTTAGCAATGCAGTATAGACATGAAAATTAGCTGGAGATCCAGATAGCGGCTGCACATTAACTGAAACATAACAGCAGTAATGAATTCATAAGAGCTGTTGAAAATTCACATGGTATCATCATATCAGAACTCAGCCTTGCTTTCCTCACTAGCCATAAATCTCTATGAGACTATGAGCCAGGTTAAATTAAATATCAAGCAGCATCTCTTTTTCTATATGGAGATGACAAGTAGTTACCTCCCCATTTTGCAGGATCCAATCGAAATGCTTCCAGAGCACGTTTCTGACATAAGGTTTCTGCCATGTCAATGTACCTGCAAAGTGAAAGCTCCACCATTTCAGTATATAAATGGAGGAGGAATTTCACAAACTGAAGTATTAAGGAAATCTAACTATATGAATTTGTTACTCAAGTTCCAACCAGCAGCCAATAAGAGTGAAAGCATTATTAACATAATTGAGAGATTAAGAATGCTTAACATACTCATTCCCTCCGTAGTATCTTGCACCAGGATATCCTTCACTGTACTTGTTGGTCATGACTGATCCAACAGCTTGCATCACTGATACAGAAGTGAAGTTCTCCGAGGGTATGAGTTCAAGCCCCTTAAGAAACACACAACTTTTAGTATCTTGAACACCAAATTCAAGTTGCATACTAACTTAAATCTTAAGAAGGATCTATATTCATTGAAAAAAGAAGTGCATGAGCTGATTATTTTCACAATTTGCCAGCAAAATACCGTAAATCTGGAAAGAAAATAATTTATATTAAGATCATTTTGGACGTTCCATTTTTCCAATGAAAAAGATCTATCGTTCAGCTATTCAAATTTGTCCCTCCCTTTTGCAGCAACAACCAGAAAGTTGAGCTAAATGAACACAATTTTACAACTACAGATACGGCATCAAAGCAAATGAATGGTCATTTATGTACAGATCTCAGCTCCAACTATTGCAAATACAGTTAACCGAGTAACTTACAAAAGATTTTACACATAAGTATACACATACGCGCATAGAACAGCGAAGAAGGGAGAGTACCTTCCATTGGCGCGCTTTTTCAAGCTCAATAATGTCAGCCATCTCTGGATCAACCTCCTCAAGAGGTGCATTAAGTTGCTTTGGCCACTGTAAGGGACGAATTAAAGGCAAAATTCCATATGAAAGGTCCAAATTAAAGAGAACATGCTAAAACAATCGAACCAAATTTCAGCAAATTTATCATTAACATAAAGGCAGTCTGAATAACAAACAGAAGTCTAGGCCGAATTGAATCGCCGAAAAAAAAAAAAACAAAATGGAAGAAAATGCAACTTACGCTAACGCGAGACTTGTCCTTGTCGTATACAGCCTCATCAGGCAAAGAAGACTGCGAAGAAAACAATCAAAATCCAAAAAGAAAAAAAAAATAATATATATATATATATATAACAGACGAGTCTCCCTTTGTTCAATTCACAAAAAAAAAAACAAGAAACTAACCATGTAATAAAGCGATGTAGCATTGAAGAGAGGCCGAATAGGTTTGTCAATGGAGGAGGAGAGTTTGCGAAGCGCCATTGCCATTGCCATTTCTCCCTAACTAGCAGTCTATCTTCCGCTTCTACGTCTCAAAGGACCTCAAATTAACTCTTTCTGAGATGTCGTGGTTGGTGTCATGAGATACTGTCCTCTGATTGTGGGTGAGTTTTTGGTGGTGGAATAAAATCTGGAAAAAAATATATATTTTTCTGCGTTTTTGTCATTGTCTAGGTTTTGGTTGATTTGGCTGTCGTCCATCTCTCTCCATTTTCGTGGAGCAGAGAACTGCCTGGCTTCTCGAGATAATACCTACCGTTAGTACCAGCAACCTAGTGGACCCCACTCTTCTTAATTTTTACATATATATATATATGAATTTTATTTTTTATAAGCAAATTTTAACTTCGTTGCCATAAAATAATGCATTTCAAATTATTAAATTAATTTTTGAACGTTTTAACTTGTTATAATATATTTTTTAGTTCCTGATTTTTTTTTAATTTTATAACATTATAACTTTTATTTTATTTTTAATAAAAAATTAATTTTTATTAAAATAAATATTTTTCTCATAATTTAATTTTTTTAAGTTTGAAGATTCAAAATAATGCAGGACAGTCCAAAAAAAATAAATAAATAAATAAAAGGTAGCCATGAAAGGCCTATCCAAGCTCTTAATTTCTCAGCCACAAAGCGATCTCCCTTGAGAAATGATGATCCTGCTGCATTTGTGTGACAAATTATGACACCTAGTGATTTGCGTGTCACTTTTCACACCAAGGCGGACAAATTGTATACGAAAAGTAAAAAATTAATTTAAAAAATTTAATTAATACATAATTTTTTTAATAAAAATATTATAAATTTGTTAAAAATTAGTTTAATTCATATTTCTCGACCTCAACAACACACTAATTGATTAAAATTTTAATATTATTAAATTAAATATTAAAAATCAGTCACTATCAACTCATAATATATTTACAAAATAACGTAGCTGTTTTATATTATTTTTCAGTTTTCTATCAAAAAATTACACCGCCAAACTCAACTGAATAAGATAAATATGATATAAAATTAAATTAAAATACAGCAGAAACTATTTATATTTTGTACATAACGTAATATTAAATTATATTTATGAGGTTATAAAAATTTATAGAGTAAAAAATAAACATAATTTATACAAATAAAATAGAATACAAACATTTTGATTCGGGTGCTAGCCTAAAAAAATAATGATAATTTGATCATCATTAACCTTAATAATACACTAATTGATTAAATTTTTGATATTACTGAATTAAATATTAAAAATCAGTCACTATCAACTCATAATACACTTATAAAATAATGTATATGTTTTACATTAGCTCGAAGTTCTCTATCAAAAAATCACACCGCCAAACTCAACTGAATAACATAAATACGATATAAAATTAAATTAAAATACAGTAAAAATTATTTATCCTTTTTACGTAACGTAATATTAAATTACATTCGTGAAGTCACACAAATTTATAGAGTCAAAACTAAACACAACTTAACCAAATAAAATATAATACAAACATTTTGATTCAGGTGTTAGCCTAAAAAAATAATGATAATTGGATCATCGTCAACCTCAACAGCACACTAATTGACTAAATTCTTGATATTACTGAATCAAATATTAAAAATCAGTCATTATCAACTCATAATACACTTACAAAATAACGAATCTACTTTACATTAGCTCGCAGTTTCTTACTAAAAAATCACACTATCAAACACAACTGAATCATATAATATAATATAAAATTAACTAAAATATAACATAAATTATTTATCCTTTGTACATAACGTAATATTA